GGGCAGCGGCACCGAGAGGTAGCACGGGGTGGTGTAGGGGGAAGGGGACACGCTGCTGCTTCCGTCCGCCTCTGCGAACTCCTCTGCAACGGGGAGACGGGGTCACTCGACCCTGGGCTTGGCCCCTGGCCCCGGGGACTTGAGGGGCAAGGGGATGCCCCAGTGGTCCCTCCAACAGTGACACCACCATGTCCCACTAAGCACCATTCTCGAATCTTCCTCTCCCAAAAGCCTCCGGAAAGGTCCTTCTTGCCCCTGGGAATGACCCCCACGCCCCAGGAACGGCTGTCCGTCCGCTTTTCATGAGAATGCCTCCCACCCACTAGGCCGGTGAAATCCTGACTCCCCCCACCCCTTTCCCCCAGCCCCGCGGAATGGCTCCGTCCTTGCCCAGGGCATGTTGCCCTTTGGGCAGGGGACGCCCCTTCCCCTCCCTTTTACAGGCATCCTCACCCCCTTACCCATCTCGTTGAGGCTGGCAAAGCCAGGGGCGATGGGTGTGTGTTTCGGGGACTTGCCCAGGTTGGGGGCGCTTGATGACCACTGTTTGCTGCCTTCCCCCAGGGCCTTCAGCCTGCAGGGGGCACGGAGAGTTGGGGACGAGGCATCAGCCGTGTGGCTGCCCTGGCTGCCAGGGGGCACCGAATGTGGGTTGGGCTCCGCCCTGCTGCCAAATACCTCTCCTCTCCGCCAACCCGCTCCTTCTGCAGGGTGGAGCTGGGCCCCCACGTGCGGCCCTTCTTCTTGCCTCCAACCAGTTCTTCCTTCTTTGGGGGCCCACTGCGGCCCCATGTCCCACTGCCACCGCTGCTGCCGCCACCACCGTCCACAGGAGTCACTGGGCCGAGAAAGGCCTCTTGGTTACTGGGTCTTGACAGTCTGCCCCAGCCGGACTCCCAGCCTCCGATCCACCCTGCCCCGGGAACACGAGGGTGCTTTCTAACTCCAGTCATGCCCCTTGGCTGCTGTCAGCTCTTCCGGCTCCCCACTGTGGTCCGGGCAAAGTCCCAGCTCCTCAGACTGGCAGGGCTTCAACCTGTAATTTTTCCAGTTCCATT